TTTTTGTATAGGCCATTATTTTTCTATTTTTTATAGTGCTCGCTCTTGCAGAGTGCACTATTTCGCTGTGTGACTTTGGCTTGAGTGCTGAACTCTCTAGGTCTTCCTTGGCTAAGAAATGAAACGACTAGGCTAGATTTCTAAGGGTTTTTTTTCAGTTTCCAAGTCCAAATTTTATGTATCTAAAAATGCTTTGGGGAAATTTTCAAAGGTAAAAGAAACATACAATAGAAATGCAGCTTTGCCAGACAGAATCTTGATCCTTGGGCTGCTGCAGAGCCTCCCCTCTCACAAATTACAGGTGATGGTTCAGCTGGAGGTTTTTGCTCCTGCCCTTTCATCAGAATTCTCTGGTAACTTGCCCACCTGCCTATCAGTAACAACACAGTAACTAACATTTGTAAAGATGGTCATGAGGTGCCAGGGATCCTGAAGAACATTAGAGACCTTCAGTCTAGTCTCAATGAGTTCTAGACCCTGACCTACTCCTAGGTTAGTTCTCTAATTTTGGCAAATGTCACTCTCTCTGGCCCAAGGTTTTCTCATCTGCAAAATAAGGAAGTATTTTTTCCTCTAAATATCCCATGATTTGCTGGGTGCAGTGGAACAAGCCTATAGTCCCAGCTACTCAGGAGTAGCTGGGAGGCAGGAGGATTGCTTGAGCCCAGAAGGTGGAGGCCATCCTGGAGAACACAGCAAGACCCTGTTTCAAAAAAGGGTGGGGGGGACAGGCCAGGCATGGTGGCTCATGCCTCTAATCCTAGCACTCTGGGAAGCCGAGACGTGAGAATTGCTCAAGGTCAGGAGTTCAAGACCAGCCTGAGCAAGAGCAAGACCCCTATCTCTACTAAAAATAGAAAGAAATTAGCCAGAAAACTAAAAATCTATATAGAAAAAATTAGCTGGGCATGGTGGCACATTCCTGTAGTCCCAGCTACTTGGGAGGCTGAGGCAGGAGGATTGCTTGAGCCCAGGAGTTTGAGGTTGCTGTGAGCTGGGCTGAAGCCACAGCATTCTAGCCAGGGTAACAGAGCAAGACTCTGTCTCAGAAAAGAAAGGGGGGGGGAGTTTATAAATATCTCATGATTTATCATCTATTAAACCTACTTCAAAAATATGTGATCTATGGCATAGACATGAATTCCCTGTTATCCAAAATGCCCTACTCCCAAGGCTGGACAAAAAGCAGAAAACTGTTGATTGAGGAGTCAGATCGATCAGCTTCTTTTTTTTTAATAATTATTTTTCTAAATCTATCTTATAAATTTTTTCCTCTGATTATTGTAACTTAATGGCAGAAAACGATCAGCTTCTTTAAGATTTTTGGAACAGCATCAAGAATCGTTTTTTTTTTTTGTTGAGGACAGGGTCTCACTTTGCTTGCCAGGCTAGAATGAGTCCATGGCGTCAGCGTGTCACAGATCAAACTCTGGCTCAAGCAATCCTGTGCTTAGCCTCCCGGTAGCTGGACTACAGGCATGCGCCACCTTATGCCGCTAATTTTTCTATAATATATTGTTGGCTATTTCTTTGTTTTATAGTAGACAAGGGTCTTGCTCTTGCTCAGGTGTTTCAACCTGCTTGCAGCAATCCGCCCCTTGCCTCCCACAGCTAGATTTACAGGTGTGAGCCACCGTGTGCCTAGCCTATCAAAGAATTGTTAAATGAGCCAGCTGCGGTGGCTCACGCCTGTATCTAGCACTCTGGGGGCGAGCTAGAGGCGAGCGGATTGCTCAGTCAGGAGTTCAAAACAGCCTGAGCAAAGCAAGACCCCGTCTCTTACTATGAATAGAAATAAATTAATTGGCCAACTACATATATATAGATAAAAATAAAGCCAGGCTCATGCTGGCGCATGCCTGTAGTCCCAGCTACTCGGCTGAGGCAGAAGGATTGCTGAGCCAGGAGTTGAGGTGCTATGACTAGGCTGACGCCTACGGACTCACTCCTAGCTTGGTTCAACAATCGAGACTCGCTGTCTCAAAAAAAAAAAAAAGCATTGTTAAAATGTTCCAAACTTTGCTTTAATTCTGCTTCTGAATCCTATCTTGACATAATCCAAAATGCAAAAAAAAAGGCCCTTCATTATAACTAACTGTGCCGCTTTATAACGAATTAAAATGAAATACTAAAATGGAACACTGGTGAATCCAACACATTCAAAAATAGAGTGTTACAGGGCCTTTTGTAAATAACATGATTAATATCACATTCTAACAAGTGAAAAATTTGGGATATAAATTGCCTACAGGTTATAGTAATTGCCACTGTATTTTTTTTTATTTCAGTTATATGATGGGGTACAAATGTTAGGTTATGTGTGTTGCTCCCCGCCCTGTCACTTTATTTTTTTAAAGAATTGCAAAAGACTAGCTAGATACGAGGAAATAAACTTCTCTTTTCATTTGTTTTTTTGGAGGAATGGGTAAAGCTGGAGCAGTGGAGGCCACAACTATGGTTTTCTTTGTCATCTAATGGTGGTAATGTACCCCATCTGCTTCTATCAGTGGTGTGGAGTGCTAAACCCTCCGAGATCCTTCATACTTCCCTTCATAAGGTAAAAATAAAATGATCTCTTTCAGCAGAGCTGCCATCTTCCAGTAATTCGCCAAAAGACAACACAAAGGAAAGAGGAGAGGCACCCGATACATGTTCTCTAGGCCTTTTAGAAAACATGGGTTTTTCCTTTGGCCTCATACATGCGAATCTACAAGAAAGGTGATATTGTAGACACAAGGGAATGGGTACTGTTTCAAAAAGGCTGCCCCACAAATGTTACCACAGCAAAACTGGCAGAGTCTACTTACCAGCATTTTTTGGATTGTTGTAAATAAAAGTAAGGGCAGGATTCTTGCCAAGAGGATTAATGTGTGTATTGAGCACATTAAGCACTCTAAGAGCCAAGATAGCTTCCTGAAACGTGTGGAGGAAAATGATCAGAAAAAAAGAAAGCCAAAGAGAAAAGATACTTGGTTCAACTGAAGCAACAGCTGCTCCACCCAGAGTAGCACACTTTGTGAGAAACAATGGAAAGGAGCCGAGCTGCTGGAACCTATTCCTATGAATTCAGCATAATAGGTGTCTCACACTTTGTGAGAAGCGACAGAAAGGAGCCTGAGGTGCTGGGACCTGTTCCCTATGAATTCATGGTGTAATAGTATGCATACCTGTGAGAAGCAAGAAAGACCTTGAGCTGCCAGAATCTATTCCCTATGAATTCATGGTATAGGAGACAACCTAAAAAAGCCGCTGGACTCTAAAACAAATAAAAAACTGATCTAATGCTGCGGGCACTTCCTTAATCCTCCTTATGTACTTTTTTTTTCTCCTAAGAGACAGGGTCTTCCTCTGTTGCCAGGCTAGAGGCATTGGTACATCATAGCTCACTGTAAGCTTGAACTCCTGGGCTCAAGCAATCCTCTTGCCTCAGCTTCCTGAGTACTGGACTACAGAACATGCCACCACACCTGGTATTTTTAAAACTTTTTGTAGAGGGGGTCTGCTATGTGTCGTCTGGTCTTAAACTCCTGTCCTGTATTCCTCCACCTATGCCTCCAAGTGCGGGATACAGGGATGAACCACTGCACCGGCCCCCCTTATGTACATACTTATCACATGAAAGGAACAGCAAAAACTCGAGTCATTTAGTCTCAGTCACCAACTAAAAAAGAAGTTATTTTTTCTAGAAAACTGACTTCAAAACTGTGGATTAGGCTCACGCTAATCCTGCACTCTGTGGCCAAGGCGGGAGGATCGCTCAAGGTCAGGAGTTTGAAACCAGCCTGAGCAAGAGCGAGATCTACTAAAATAGAAAGAAATTAATTGGCCTACAAAAAATATATAGAAAAAATTAGCTGGGCATGGTGACACATGCCTGTAGTCCCAGCTATGCGGGAGGATGAGGCAGTAGGATCGCTTGGGCCCAGGAGTTTGAGGCTGCTGTGACTAGGCTGATGCCACGGCACTCTAGCCAGGGCAACAAGAGTAAGACTGTCTCAAAAACAAAAACAAAATTGTTGGTTTTTTTTTGGATTAGTGCTATCATTTATCTACAGAAAAGAAAAACTAAAACTGATGTATTAGTTTATGTTGAAAACCATTATCACCCCTTTAAAAACTCCCCCTACATAAAACAAAATTTATTTTACATAAGTTTTTTAAAACTCAGTGTTGCCAAGGATGGTGACCTATAATCCTAGCACTCTGGGAAGCTGAGGAGGGAGGATAGCTTGAGGCAAGAAGTTCAAGACCAGCCTAAGCAACAGAGCAAGATCTCTGTCTCTACAAAAAATACAAAAATTAGCCAGGTGTGGTGGCGGTACAAGCTTGTAGTCCCAGCTACTCTAGAAGCTGAGGCAGGAGGATCACCTGAGCTGAGGAGTTTGAGGTAGCAGGGTGCTATATCACACCTGTACTCACACCACTGTACTCTAGCCTGGGGGCAACAGAGTAAGAGCATGTCTCAAAAAAACAAACAACAACAACAAAAAACCTCAGTGTAATATATACTCTCCTCCCAGTGATCTGTGCTAAAGCTAATTCATTTCATTGATCTGGCTGGAAATCAGATACCCCAGAGCAACACTGATATTGTTCAACTTTCCCTCTAAAGTCAGTGATGCTTGCTTTAAACAACCTTGGTTTCCAATTAATTTGGTTTCTGGAACACTGGTAAATGGAAGAGCAGGCATTTTATATTAATAGAAATACTATCTGGGCAGTTTTAGAAAGGCAAGATGCTTTGCTTTTGACAACTGATGAGTTAGTTCTGTCTGATTAACCTCACAGCCACTTGGCGTTTGACGTCTCCTACAACTTTCTGTTCCACTGCTCTTCCCACTCACTCGGCAGGAGAAGCTGCCATAAAGTCTGCTTCTGCATTGCTCTTCATCACTCACAGTCCCTTTGTCACAGGACATATGAAGACCATTACGTGACTTTAGGGTCACATGAGAGGCTAAAGGCACAGTGACACAAAGAACAATAAAATGTTGACCTACCTACTGGTATTTTGGTTCCTGCTTCTTTCCAAACTATCCTTGGCTCCTTGAGCAGGCTGAAATTGTTTACCCATGTTCTGTTTTCCAGGGCCACAAAGAGTCAACAGCTTAAAAAGCAAAAAAGCAAAAAACACGTTTCAGTGCTTTAAAGAGAGAATTCCTCTGCTCTTACATTGTTGTTTTCAAAGCCATTCTTGCTAAACGTGTAGAAAAAAGCAGACCTACCAAGACAATTTCCCTTTTCATGTTTCCTATCTAGTAACCCATCTCTTTCCTGGAGGCCTTTACCTAGAAATGCTGGCCTCCAGGAACCTCGTCCAGACAGGATGCAAGTGGAAAATGAGCAGACAACGTAGAAATAAAAAGGCCAAACACTTTCTTGAGCATTTCCCATCTACATTAATGTGAAGGCAGCAGATCTTTGTGGCAGGAGCTTTGGGCCTTGGGTTCTAGTCTCAGCCATACTCAGACTAACTTAAGAGAATCTTACACTTCAGCTTCCTTATCCATAAAACAGGGACAAAAATACCTACCAGTAGGGATGCTATGAAAATAAAATACAGTAAAATAAAGGCTACAGTACTCTGGAAATAGCAAAAGCAAAATAAATGAAAGTCTATGCGCTTTATTCAAAGGAAAGACTTTTGGTATCTATTTATTCCAATTTACCATAATTTTAACAAACTTAGTTAATTATATTTCCTAGCCTACAGCAAAATAAAGCAACAAATGTGGGGTTTGGAAATGGCAGCAAGATGTGTAAAATTGAGAGGAGGCATAAAAAATTATCACAAGCTCCTTGAAGTATGAGCTCTACAGGCCTTTGTATGGGCAAACACTCCTCAGTAGGGGCTGAAGATAGCTCTGTGTCACGGAGCCTCACAACAACAGATGTTCAAAAAAATGCACTGTCACCAAAGAAAGGTTAGAATATATTTAGAATATAATCAAAATGGATTTTAGAATAACAGGAAGTTTGTAATGTTTTCATATAATTAAAATTTTAAGAACTAGAAAATTAAAAGAATAAATTTCAATTGTCTGAAAAATTCACTTAGATGGAGATGCTTTTATTCCTTGATGATGCTAGAAAAAGAGGGTGAACTTTTAAAAGAAAAAATAAATATGGTATAAGTGTTTTATACATGTCATATATACCAGTAGATGGTTTCCAACAATGTCTGCCATCAATTCCTTCCCTCCTGTCTACCCTGTCAGGCCTCCTACCAGGAGTTGGAGTCTATTTTCCTCCCCTTGAATCTGAGCTAGCCTTGTGACTGTCTTTGACCAACAGAAAGCAATGGAAATGGCACAGTGCTAGGGCTGGGACCAGCTTTTAAGAGGCCTGCCAGTTTTAGCTTTCACTTGGAAAGCCAGCTGCCATGTAGTTGAGAAGCTTGGGTGAAGCTTTATCAAATGGTGAGAAGCCAAGTACAGAGAGAGAGGCCACTTGGAGCTCAAGGCACCAGACATATAAGTGGAGGCTTCTTGGACCTTCTTGCCCAGCCTAACCTCCAGGTGAATGCAATCGAGTGAGTGACCCAGCCATGCCACATGGAACATGGAAAAGAAGAAGCACCTAGGTGAACCCTGTCAAATTCCTGACCAACAGAATTACAAGAAATAATAAACCATTGTTATTTTAAGCCACTAAGTTTAGGGCTTTTCTCTTCTGTTGTTACAGAGCAATAGATAACCAACACATAATATATAAAAGTTATTTCTAATAGTTTTCTAGCAAACTCTAATTTTTGATAGAAACAGAAATATTAGGATATAAGTAAATTCCTTGAGCCTTCTCTTTATATGAAAACAAATGCCACTGCTTTTCCCAATGTTCTAAGTGAGGATTGAAGCCTCACTAAAATTCAGTATGGTATGATGAAAGAACACTAGACTATGAGTCAGGAGACCTTCCTCTAACCAGCTTGGACCGTGATGGTAGGGTAGCAAGTTTGGGGACAAGGAGAGAGCTGTCTGCCCTGTACGAGCAATGAGAGGGTGCTTATACGTGAATAATTTTAAACCAGTAATAAAACCTACTAAAAGTTGGCCTGCTTTTTATCACCATGGACCAGCAATTCTAAACAATTTCAGTAATAAAATACAGTGGGGCAGACCTCTCCTACCCTACCTCTATCTTAGACCTTGTGAAGTTTAAGCCACCAAGCTTGAGTTTCATACTCTGTTAAATGATAGGGTTGATCCATGTCTGAGGGACCTTCAGCTCCAAAATTCTATGATTCAAGAGGCAGCCAGTTCTCTATGCGTGAACTTGTTCAAATTCATTCATCCATTCATTCCCTCATTCCCTCAATGACCATTTATCAAGTTTTTCTATGTGTTAGGTACCATGCTAGGTGCCAGGACATGGAATAAGGCTGGGCCTTGTCCTTATGGAATCACTCAGCAACCTCTGTAAGATTCAAGCTATTCCTCCCAGCCAACTCTCATGGTGTCTACTCACCTCCTCTAAGGTATGTTCTTTGACCACCAGGTCCCTCAGTCTCCCACTGGTGTCTGAGCTACTTACAGGCAGAGCCTGTAATTTATTCATCATCATATCCCAGGGACTAACAGAGCCTCTGCCTTTATAAAATGTTCATTAAGTGAATGAATGAATGAATGAATGAGTGAATGAATAAGCAACTTAGAATGGGATATAAGATATCTGCCTAAGATATCTTGTAAGTTGAACCACGTGAAATTGCCAATACCTGTTTTAACCTATAAAACAGCATAGCGGAGGAGGAAGGAGCAGAGGAAGGTGTGGGAACCCACATGAAGAATCAGAGAGAGAAAGGACTAAGAGGAAATTCAGACTTCATGTGCTTGAGATCAAGGTAGGTTAAAATCCAGCCTAAAGTAAACATGTTGGAGAGAGAATCTAAGCAGAGAGCAACCTAGGCTGTCAAGAGATGTGTGGAAAATCCAAAGGAGGGTAAAGACATTGTGTCCATCAAGAAAATAACCAGAAATCATTGGGACAGTGAAGATATTTAGCCAAGAAATTTAAATATGAAAAAATATAATAAAATTAGTTTTGTGATAAAAAAAAAAAACACAGCAATTTCATATGGTTCAATCTGATACATGTGAAATTACACAGAACATGGGCTGTGTGTTGGGTTTGCGGTGTGAGGTAGAGTGTCTACCTTGGAACTCCATCCTAGAGGACTTATTTCCCAAAGCCAAGAGGACCTTGCTTCAAGCTGGTCGCATTTATGTGTCAGTCCTTGCAGCCAAGTTGGGGCAATGTTCCTGGCTTTCGGGTCCTGCTTAGGCTGCCCCTCCCTCCCACTTAGGTTACCTGATGGGCCGTCTCTGATCGCTCCCTTGTGCTTTCTTCGGAGACTTGGATGAAAGGTTTCCAGTCACAACCACTTTTTTTCCTGGACCTTTTGCCAAAATGTCCTCCTTGAAAGTCTTTGACTATTCTTGGAAACCTTTCTAGGGTTGGGCAGTTGCCTCTGTTATCTGGCTGTTGGCCCCCCAATTGCTGCACGACAGGAGGATTATAACTCGAAGCTGGAGGACCCATGGCTGAAGGCAAGTTGTAGACGTTTGCAAACTCTCTTGAAGTAGCCCACAAGGACGTGCGCTCTTCCTGCTCCTTCTGTATCATTTCAAGCTTATCTATTTTCTGTTGGGTATTTCTCAGCAAACTGGCATTCTGGTGCATTAATGTCTGTGCAATCTTTAGATTGAGCACACATTTACTGATGTACTCCTCAGTCATGGACCTGTTGCTCACATTGCCCTTGTCCTCTCTGGTTGGTTCAGCCAGGCTGAGTGAACCAAGTGAAGCATTTTGCCAGTCCCAGTCCTCAAAGGAGAGCACTGTGTCAGCTTCTGAAGAGCTCTCATGCTCATCACAAAAACAGCAGGCCTCTCTCTCCATCTTATCCAACTCTTCTTCCATGGATTTTAGTTCATCTGCCTGGTTTGGTCTATTCCCCTCAAGAGATGAAGCAGCTCCTGGAGGCTCTTCCTCTTTGTCATCTTCCAAGTTCAGGCAGCCTGAGTAGATTTCATTGATTTCGAAGCTATAGAGGCTTGCCTGACCTACGCTGGGGCTGCTGGCCTCTTCTGCCACAAATGGATCAGGAGTGTCGTGATTCTGAGTCTCCTTGGCACTCAGACTGGGACCTGGGGCCTGAGGATCTGGTGTTCTTTTCTCCTCAGTGGGAGAAAAGTGACTCCTTGGTGAATGAAGTTGACTGCCTGTTAAAAAGAATAGCAACACACAACTGATTAAAGTGATCACATTCAGCAACTAAGCAGCCTTGGGCTTGTTCAAGAGGACAAGAATGCACAAGACAGCTTTTATTTTCCCACTCCCTTCTCAGTTGTGGAAGACTACTGGATATACTCACAGAGAGCAGGGATGGTATTTCTAACCTAGGTGAAAGTTCCCATTTTGATATGGGATGAAGCAGAAATTTCGGGGCGGGGGGTTGGGTGGGGAGGGGAATCAAACCCTGGGGAAAACATTCTAAGCTTCATTTATAAGGTGTTCATACATCCATAGCTATCAGGACATACAAATTACAGGCCCCTGAATCTTAAGGACCACATAGCTTTCTTGACACACACAAGATTTTGACTATTTATGTCAGTTACAGTTATGCTCTTACTGAGTATCTGATAAAAGTAGCTGAGATATTGCCTAAGAAGCCACTGCATCATGGGAGGGATAAATAACTCAAAAAATAATGCCAGGATTGACCACCCACCACCCCTGGTCAATAACTGTACCGCTTGCAGAGAATGGGATAAAGAAACCAAAGTGATGAGAGCTTCGGGGACTACTCTAGAGGCCTCTGGCCCTGTCAAAAGGAGAGTAACAGGGAATGCTAGTTTGGCTGGAATTGGAAGGCTTGTGTTCCAGCTCTGTAACAATTTCACTATGATCCTGAGCAGGTCACAACCTTTCTGAATCTTAGTTTTCCTCATCTGTAATATGAGGACATTAAGACTGATGATTCCAAGGTCCTTTGTAGCTCTAAATTGTAAGGTTTTCAAATGCACTAAAAAGCAGTAAAAGCTGGGTGTTCTGGTGCATGCCTATAATCTCAGCTACTCAGGAGGCTGAGGCAGGAGGATTGCTTAGCCCAGGAGTTCAAGACCAACCTGGGCAACATAGTGAGACCCTATCTCAAGGAAAATCAAGGCCAGGCACAGTGGCTCACGCCTGTAATCCTAGCACTCTGGGAGGCCGAGGCGGGTGGATTGCTCGAGGTCAGGAGTTGAAACCAGCCTGAGCAAGAGCGAGACCCCATCTTTACTATAAATAGAAAGAAATTAATTGGCCAACTAATATATACAGAAAAAAATTAGCCGGGCATGGTGGTGCATGCCTGTAGTCCCAGCTACTTGGGAGGCTGAGGCAGCAGGATTGCTTGAGCCCAGGAGTTTGAGGTTGCTGTGAGCTAGGCTGACACCATAGCACTCTAGCCTGGTCAACAAAGGGAGACTGTCTCAAAAAAAAAAAAAAGGAAAAAAAGGTTGGAAGGAAAGACTAAAATGTTAACAAATGTTTTCAAAGTGGCAGGATTAAAATGGTAAGTAATTTTTTTCTTTGTACTCTTTCAAATTTTCTATAACAAGCAGATAGTAGTTTTCAATTTAAAAATAATTTTTATTTGTGGAGGAATTAGAGAAATTCTTAAGAGGCAGGGAGTGGTGGCTCATGCCTGCCTAGCACTCTGGGAGTCTGAGGCAGGAGGATCACTTGAAGTCAGGAGTTCGAGACCAGCCTCAGCAAGAGTGTGTCCCCATCTCTACTAAAAATAGAAAATATTAACCACCGGGTGTCGGGCAGGTCAGGGAGAAGGAATGGGTATATACATACATAATGAGTGTGACACACACCAACTGGTGGATGGACACCCTTGAAGCTTTGACTCAAGGGGGGAGGGGAAGAAGGGAAATATAAGTAACCTTAACATTTATACCCCCATAACGTGCTGAAAAAAAGAAAAAGAAAAAATTAACCAAGACCAGTGGTGCACACTAGTCCCAGCTAATTGGGAGGCTGAGGCAGGAAGATCGCTTGAGCCCAGCAATTTGAGGTGCTGTGAGCTAGGCTGATGCCACAGCACTCTAGCTGGGGCAATAGAGTAAGACTCCATCTCAAAAAAAAAAGGTAAACTCTTAAGAGTAATCATGCTAGAAATTAACTCATTATTACTACTTAGTTCTGGATCCATGACAGGTATATATGGAGCCCAAAAACTTAACTTCGTTATTTTAAGGATCTTGATTTTTTCCTAACACATCCATCTTTTCCCAGCATAAGTTATATGTACAGCCTGGAGTAGGTGACTGGTTACAGCTTATGTCACTCTCAGAACACAACTGTATCAAAGTGATGCTTAACCTGTGAGTTAAGGCCATACCCGTTTCCTTTAGCTCTTTGATTTCCAAGTCAGGGGTCTCTTTTGGATGTTCTGAAGTCAGTCCTAGATAGACACTGACATCAGGATGGAGTTCATATCTCTGCACCCTGGAGCTCTCCGTTGGCTGAGTCCTCTGGGCTTCAATAAAATCCTATAATTGTCAAGGACATATTCATAGTCATCTGAATGTCACTGGGGTTTTAGAAACCAATTGAGATATTGGACAAACTCCCTCTTACTCCTATTGGGTAGGCTGACTGTAGTCCTAATTAGTTAAGTTACTATCAATACCTTAAAAGCAATAACAACAGCTGCCATTCATTGAATCGCTACTATGTGCCTGCAGTATACCCCTACTATGTGTTGAACCTCCCCTGGCCCCTTCCTCAATTCCCTGTTGCTCTCATCAAGTTAAGCAGTTAGGCTTTTCTCAGGCACATAAAAAGGGTATAATAAAATGAGGATTTCCAAAATTTCTTACAACTTGGTCTCTTACTCCCTACTCTCCTGAGATGGGTAGGTAGAAATAAAATCCCAACAACTTCAGGGCTTGCCTTTAAGTCATTCTTCAGAATATACCGGATATCTTGAAGGTTCATAGTTCGGTCTTTCTGCTTGACCTGGAGGCCTGACTTAACGATATCATAGTAAGGTTTTGGAAGCCTCACATCAGCTTCTAAATAATTTCCCAAGACTATAGCTTCTTTAATAACTGAGCCGTCTAAGCCATTCCAGGGTATGTTGTCTGTAAGGAAAAAGTCATAGGAAGGAGCAAAATTAAGAAATCAGGGGATAGAAAGGGGGGAAAAATGAAATGAGATGAAGCTGGGCAACCTTAGTCAAGTCACTCAACCCCTTTAAACATTGATTTTTCTCTGTAGAAAAACTATCTGGAAGCTGAATTACAAACAAGAAGCTACTTTACCCATTTACCAAGGAAATCTCTGCCACAAAGATAGGAAATAGTAGTGTCAGTGTCACCTACACACAGGCTCCCTGCTGGCAGACCTAGGGCCATAGGTAGTATTTCATGGCATTAGGCCAGGTAGCTGAATGCATTCAGTTCATAGGAGTGGTTTTGCCTCTGGGACTGTAAACACTGCGAAAGGCAGCTGACTCCCTCAATAACAGATGTGATCACTTTCTTCACATTAGAGTCCTGTGGTTTGGAAGGGCATCTATTTCTTTCAAGTGACATTGTTTATACCTCTACTGGACCCTGGGGGGGTTGATTTCATAGCTTACTTCTCAGAGGCCAGCCTTTTCCACTCATTTACAAGTCCTTAAGGGGTACCTCACAGAGACCCTAAGTATTGACAATATTCAGTACAAAAACTTTGCTTGGAGTTAATGCATTATCACTGACATGCAGATGGGTGGGCCTTGCTGAGTCTTAAAGAATAGTTAAGGCCGGGTGCGGTGGCTCACGCCTGTAATCCTAGCTCTCTGGGAGGCCGAGGCGGGCGGATTGCTCGAGGTCAGGAGTTGAAACCAGCCTGAGCAAGAGCGAGACCCCATCTTTACTATAAATAGAAAGAAATTAATTGGCCAACTAATATATATATAAAAAAAAAATTAGTCCCAGCTACTTGGGTGGCTGAGGCAGAAGGATTGCTTGAGCCCAGGAGTTTGAGGTTGCTGTGAGCTAGGCTGACGCCACGGCACTCACTCTAGCCTGGGCAACAAAGCGAGACTCTGTCTCAAAAAAAAAAAAAAAAAAAAAAGAATAGTTAAAAGAGAAAGATTCCTAGGAGATCACCTTATATCTTCCATAAGCATAAAACTAAGTAACTTCTGGAGGAAGAAAATACAACTTAACAATAGGGACTCTGGTCAACCCTTAATAATCTTGATCTACCTGTTAAAATCTCCTGTATCATCACAGAAAAGCTGTAGATGTCCGACTTCACTGCGGCTGCCTTCTGTAAGATCACCTCCGGTGCAGCCCAGTTGTACAGCTGGGCAGGGAGGGGTACTCGAGTCAGGTCCCTGTGTACACCTCCGTCCCGGCTAGAGAAGAAAACACACAAGGGCAGGGCTCATGCCTTTAAAGGGTCCTTTGATCACCACACAGTTCATCTGTAAAATTTTTGCCTCTGAAGACTGATAGCCTCCTTGAGCTTCTAGAAACCTACCTAGACACTGAGCTAACCCACACTGCCTCAGAGGTGTTTCAACTCCTTACCCACCCAGGCCTTCCCCCACCCCTGTCTCAACTGATCACTCTCTCCTGCTCATCCACTATGCTCACATCACAGGGGCCTTCTTTCAGTTCCTCCATCATGCCAAGAATATTACCACGTCAAGTCTTTGTACCGCTGGCCTGGCATGCTCTGCCCACAGATCCTAGAGCAACTAGCTGCTTCTTGTGACTAAGGTATTACTTTGAAAGTCACTACTCAGGGAGGCCTTCCCTGACCACCTAATCTAAGTAGTCCTGTTTTATTGGCTTCAGAGCACTTACCTGAATTGTTTGCTCAGATATTTAGTTTATTATCTGTCTCCCCTCCACTAGAGAGTCAGCTCCATGAGAGCAGGCACGTTATCTGTCTTTTATTCACTGTATTCCTGAGCTTACACCAGAGCCTTGATGCTTGCTGTTGAATAAATGTGAGACTCTTTCAAGACCCCCCTCAAGCCCCATCTGCTTTATCAAAGCCACCTGGGACTTCTCCAACTCCTCATGATAGCTTTTTATTTTGAGACAGGGACTTGCTCTGTCACCCAGGCTAGAGTGCTGTGGCATCAGCCTAGCTCACAGCAGCCTCAAACTCCTGGGCTCAAGCAATCCTCCTGCCTCAGCCTCCTTAGTAGCTGGGACTACAGGTGCATGCCACCACACCCAAATTATTTTATTTATTTTTCTTAGAGATGGTCTCACTATGGTGCCCAGGTTGGTCTCAAACCCCTAGCCTGAAGCAATCCTCCTGCCTCAGCCTCCCAAAGTGCTGGGATTACAGGCGTGGGCTGCCACACCCAGCCCTCATGATTGCTTCTTTTCTGAACTCATGCCCTCTTGGGAGTGAGCTTCCTCATTTCAGCACTCAAAGGTTCACTCATGCTTGAATAACTCATGTTCCCAACCAGACTTCCTAAGAGCTATATTAGAGCATCCTAAATGTCTTCTGGGCCAACAAGAGGCCTCAGGCAGAGATGATTTCTGTCCACAGTGGTCATGAGAATCAAATGAGATCACAGATATAAAACACTCCATGAGCCATAAAGCATTTTGCCAAGTAAGGAATTAGTATGAACATTATGGGAAGCATTTAGTAAAGATTTGACTGCTGGTTGACAAGTTTTCAAAAAGAAAATGATAGCAAGTTTCTGCTGATCTGGCATAAGGACAAATTTTAGAGGATGGGATGGGCTTCTCTGACTTTGAGCAAACTCCCTAAATAATGTTTCTTCCAGCAAACCGTTTGATAGAGAGCAGTGAGTTCAAGAAGTCATGATGTTATAAAATCTGGTACTGACTTTTTAGTTACACTGCTGAATAGTTAGGTGTGGCCTGGTGTAGTATGAACAGTGTGGATGTGCATGCAAATTTAATATACAAATATTTTTATATTTAATGTATAAATTTAATATATTTTACATATATTACATAATTATGTGTTAAATTAATATAAATTATGTTAGCAACACAGAAAACACAATGGAGTGTTTTATTGTCAGAGATATAGTCTGAGAACCTAGCATGTTTGCCTCCCAAGCTCAGGGGCAATTCTTTAAGAGAAACATCCTTCTCCGGCCTCTCAGGCTTGTGTAAGGCCCTAGCAAAGGATAAGTCACTTCTAACCAGGATTTTACATCCTTTTTCTCCTACTTCCTCTCACCTTCTGCCCTTACAATCCCTTCTTCCTCTAGAACCGTTACTTTTCTGGGCTTCAGCTTTGACATCATTAAAATTACATTTGGCTGCAGCTATGTGACACCATTTACAAGGTCAGTTTCAGCTCTAAAGATTCCATTACTAAGGAGCTGAAGGGTAGGAGAAACTGCTGCATCACTTTTACACCAAGAGACGGAACGCTATCCTTGACAATGACATTCAACAAACAGACATGCCCAAGTAGAGTGTTACCAAAAATAAATGCAGAATTAAAGGCTATTTGGGGTTCTTGAATACTCAACTCATGTCATCAGCTTTCAAAGAAGGGTACAAGTTACGACTGCAACTGCTTGCTAACTGACATTTCTGTCTGAAAAGCCACTCTGAGGTCAAGAAGCACAGATGAGAACTCACACCTTCCTATCATACTCAGTCCCTCCGGACTTCCCAGGGGCACTCACAGACCCTGATTACCTCCTACCCTTTCACTTGGCTAGCTGTTCACCTCTGCTCCTCTGTGCATTTTACTTCTTTCCCTTCTATTTTGGCTCCTTGGTCACCACCAGGCCCTGTCCCATGGCTGCATAGTTGATCTTCCTGCCCTCAACCTCCAATCCAGCCTGCCCCTATAACTGGGAGGCATCCTCTTCTACCTGGTTCTAGCCCCAACTGTGCCTCTAACCAACCAATTGGGTAACTTCACATAATCCCTTCACCCGTCTGGGCGTCAGTTTCCTCGTCTATAAGAGTACAGGGTTGAGGCCGGGCACAGTGGCTCACGCCTGTAATCCTAGCACTCTGGGAGGCCAAGGCGGGTGGATTGCTCGAGGTCAGGAGTTAGAAACCAGCCTGAGCAAGAGCGAGACCCCATCTCTACTATAAATACAAAGAAATTAATTGGCCAACTAATATATATAGAAAAAAATCAGCCGGGCATGGTGGTGCATGCCTGTAGTCCCAGCTACTCGGGAGGCTGAGGCAGAAGGATTGCTTGAGCCCAAGAATTGGAGGTTGCTGTGAGCTAGGCTGACGCCACAGCACTCACTCAGGCTAGAGTCTGGGCAACAAAGTGAGACTCTGTCTCAAAATTAAATAAATAAAATATAAATAAAATAAAATAAAAGACTAAAGAGGGCTGGTTGCAGTGGCTGACACCTGTAATCCCAATACTTTGGGAGGCCAAGGCAGGAGGATTGCTTGAGGACAGGAGTTTGAGACTACTTTGGACAATACAGTGAGTCCTGGTCTGTATAAAAAATAAAAATATCAGCCAGGCACAGTGGTGCGGTCCCCTATAATCCCAGCTACTTGGGAGGCTGATAGGAGGATCATGTGAGCCCAGGGGTTTGAGGCTGCAGTGAGTCATGATGATGTCACTTCATTCCACCTTGGGCAACAGAGTGAGAACCTATCTCAAAAAAAAAGACCAAAGAGGCGTGTACCAGGTATTCCAGATATAGGGAATACTCAGCTCTGTGAAAAGGCATGGATTCAAAGTGGCTTCAAATGGCCAGAAGGGCGTGGGGGCAGTCATCAGGGATGGAGCTCCACCTCGGAAGGCTTTCACTCCCTGAAAAGGTGCCTTAACTTAACCTTGTAGGCAATGAGGAGCCCCTGAAAGGTTTTAACTCACATTGAGAATGGACCAGATGTGAGGTGAGCAGCTCAAGTGGTCTGCGCTCGTTCCCAAGTAGAGACCTGCAGCAGTTCATCACACCCTAATGGCTGCCCTGCTCTCTACTGCCCCAGCATAGCAGTCCCTCTAGAGACACAGGAGCCCGAGGTTCTTATCATCTTAACCTATAAATCATGCATGACACCATAATGCTCAAGAAAACCTCTTCCACAGCATCCCAGTGTTCTCAGGATGAAATTCAAACACCTCGCCAGGGCCCACAAGGCCAAGCATGATCTGGCCCCTGCCCTCCTCTCCAGGCAGAGGGATACAAGGCACTCAGGGTCTGGGGAGGTGAGTCTTTCAGTTTCATTCGTTCAAAAAACATGCTGGCCAGGTGCAGTGGCTCACACCTGTAATCCTAGCACTTTGGGAGGCTCAGGTGGGAAGATTGCTTGAGGGCAGGCGTTCAAGACCAGCCTCACAAAGAGCAAGGCCTCATCTCTACAAAATATAGAAAAATTAGCTAAGCATGGTGGCATGTATCTGTAGTCCCAGCTACCATGGAGGCTGAGGCAAGAGGATTGCTTCAGCCCAGGAGTTTGAGGTTGCAGTGAGCTATGATGATGCCATTGCATTCTAGCCCGGGTGACACAGCAAGACACTGTCTCAAAAAAATATGTATCTATATATATGATGAATGCCCACTGTGTGAAGGCCTGTGCTAGGCATTTGAGAAGCAGTAGTGTTAATCCATGCCCTCAAGGAGCTTTTCATCTAGCAAGAGAAGTGAATTACAAAGTGTGTGAGAAACAAAGGCCTGAGAGAGACTCAGAAACAAAGCTTGTGGGGGCAGGGGCAGGGTAAAAGGAGGTAGGGGGTTCTAAGCCAGGGATATGCTCAGTGGCTGAGGCCTCACAGAAGAACAGCATCAACACTTGGCAAAGGCTCAGAGCTGAGGATGGCAACAAGCAAGTGTAGGTGAGATCCTCTGCCTTTTAGAGCTTGGAGGTGAGAAGTGGGGGTCAGTTCTCAACTCTCAGAAGGACTCTGACTCTAGCCAAACAAAAAATTAAGCCCATCCACCAACCCTTGAATGAGGACATTGTTTTTGACTGCCTCTCACTGCGCTGAGCCCCCTAAGGGCAGGGCATCCCCTTCACGTCCACCAGCCCAGTGCCTGGTCTGGACATAGTGGGTGTGACAGACCATCAGGCTCATCGACACCCATCACTTTCTCTCTCCTTCCAGGATGCACAGCTAAGGCATGTTTCTCAGCCTCCTACAGTAAGAAGGTGATTGGGTTGTGGCCACTGCGAAGTCGGAAGTAATGATATTACCTACTTCAGGCTGGCCCCAAACCCCACTGCATCCCCTCCATGCTCGCTCTCTTGCTCGCTGACCAGCAACACAAAGAACGTCGTAGTAGGGGACAGAGGCCCAGAGGTTGGCAGAGCCACGGATGGGAGAGACATGGAACACTGCCCCTCTCCGATATACATACTAGACTGCAATGTGAATGAGAAATACTCGTGTTAAGCCACTGAAAACTTTGGAGTGGACAGCTACAGAATTTATTCACATTGGCTAATATGAGCTCTTACTTGTTAAATGTTTATTAAAATGTCCTGAATAGGCCGGGCATGGTGGCTCACTCACGCCTGTAATCCTAGCACTCTGGGAGGCTGAGGTGGGAGGATCGCTCAAGGTCAGGAGTTCTAAACTAGCCTGAGCAAGAGCGAAACCCTGTCTCTACTAAAAATAGAAAGAAATTAATTGGCCAACTAAAAATATATAGAAAAAATTAGCTGGGCATGGTAGTGCGTGCCTGTAGTCCCAGCTACTCGGGAGGCTGAGGCAGGAGGATTGCTTGAGCCCAGAAGTTTGAGGTTGCTGTGAGCTAGGCTAACGCCACAGCATGGTGACAGAGTGAGACTCTGTCTCAAAAAAAAAAAAAAAAGTCCTGAATAGAAGTACATTTTACAAAGTCCCTCCAGTCTTGGCAAAGTAAGGCATTTGGGAAAGCTCTTCATTCGCTGAGCGGGCAGTTCAGCTCACCAATGAGAAGGAGTCGCACCCAGATCAGATTCTGTCTCTACAGCTAACAGCCCCCAGACACCTTCTTCAGGAGGAAGTCACGCAACAGGTTGCACTCACCTTTCCATCATGTACTCCAGGTTGGTCAGCCTTGCTTCCCCTGGGGAGACGATGTGGACAGCATAAGAGCTGAGGGAGCGATGGATAAACCCCCGAGAATGCAGGTATCTCAGGGCATCAGAGATCTGGAGCAGTAGGTGCACAATGACCTCCATGTGCAGCATCGGGAACTGGGACCGCTGCAAGCAAGAGATAAAACAACAGGAACAAAAGGGACCAGGCCCCTGACACTGTATTTTCAAAGTCTTTCCATTTGATCCTCACAGGTACCTAGGATCCCCATTTTACAGATGGAGAACCTAAAGCTGGTTGAGGACTGGCCTAAGGTCCCACTGACCTAGGCCCCCTGGCTCCATACCTAGACTCCTTTTCCTCAGCTGAGCTGCTTCATACCACAAATAATGAAGAGAAAGTTCTCAAAGGCTGGTATGTGGATCCAGGGTTGGCCTGGGGAAAACTTCCAGAGGAGGTTCCCCCCATGAGCAGTAGTAAACATGCCCTGTCCTCTCCCTGTCCAAGCCCATGCTGCTGGGAGAACTTGGAAGCTCAAAGGACCCCACAAGATGCAGATAAACAATCCAGCCCAATGAGATAAACTAGAAAGTTCATTCTATGAGGACAGAAATTCACATATATATCAGTGTACCCAGCTGACTAAAGTCATAATGTGTCTCTCCTCTAAAGAAATGCCATTTTAAGGTAATGTCCTCATCCAAGGAAAAAAACAAACAAACAAAATACTAATAGGAGGTCCTCAGGCAGGAGGAATGGCAAACCATTTGGAGCAAGGGCCCTCCCTGGAAGGTCTTTAGAACAGTCATGGAGAAAAAAAATCAAATCCTCCAGGAGCTCTCTGTAGCCAAAACTCAGCCCAAAGCACACTTCTCAGGGAATCTGTTGGCCATGGAAGATGTTCTCCAACCCCAAAGAAATTTGAAGAGAAAGAGGAACGATATAGGCCTCTATGTAAAGACAGCAGGACAATGCACAAGTGAAAACGTAGAAAAATAAAGCCAGGGGCTGCTGAATTACAGTTAGCTAGAAATGTGTCTGTGTGTTTTCTGGGTCTGTTGCACTCACAGATGTGTGATAAAGAAGCAGGACTGACAAAAATGAAATCATAGTAGTTCCAAGTATGTGCTTATCAGCCTTAAATGGCTCATTATACAGCCTGCATAAAGTGAAAGAATTAAGAGATTTATTGTCCATGCACACATGAATGGGATCTCTACAGCTGGGGTGGGGGAGGGGGAAAGAAGCAGGGGAGGGCAGCTAGGGGAAAAGCCACGAAAACAGCCGTTTACTCGTTCATGGAGGATGCTGAACAGTGTGCCCACAGTGACACGCTCGTACACGAGGCGGGTTTGCTCCAGGTCCTGAGACAGGCACACAGCCATCAGCTGCAGCAGGTGTGGGTGCCGTAGCTTGCTGCAAAAGAGAAGAAGCTTCAGATGCCACAGGGGAAAGGAGGACATGATGAAAAAATGGGTGTTGCCCTTTCTCTAGGCCCTTTGAACACACTCTAAACAAACATCAATTGTATATAACATTTTTCTAAGAAAACAGGATGGGTTGTGGGTTGTGGGGTGGTCTCTGGTGGTAGAATCTGTGGCCTTTTGCTGATCAGACCCTGGGAGCTTAGAGCCATCAATGACAACAATGATAATGTCGCCAAGAGCTCCTGAGTATGCATTCCGCATACTTCACCTCAGATCCTAACAATCACCTGCAGGAAATGTGTCCTCATAGTCATTAGGAACCAAATGTCAGGAGCTCACCCAAAGACACACACCCCACTCAGTCTCACGTCAGAGTCCATATTGTATCTGCACATTCTTTCAGCTTCCTTGGGTCCCTTCAGGGCAACTTCCCCAAAAGGAAGAATTGGTCTTTCTAGATACCTCCTATAGGAATTGAGTGGCCTTCTCAGGACAGCACTCAATAAGTCTGGATCCACTGCAGGGCCTCAGTGGCCTGGTTGTAAACTTGTGAATTTAGAGCCTGCTCCAGCAAGAACTGAAGGACCCAACCCTGGAGCCCCAGGAGACCTAAGGTCCGGAGACCTGTGAGCATGTCCTCAATGGCAGAGACATGTTTCCTCAGACATCTGGATCTCATACCCAGCCATGCTCTATGAAAACAAGAGAGCCACACGTTGTCCTAATGGGGACAAAACGGGTGGGTCTCAAGGGCTAGCAGGAGGCTGGACCATTCAGGGTTACAGGACAGCTGACACAACTGAGCCCCTCCCCACCACCACCCCCACTGCTCAGGCTATTCATTAATTCATTCCTCTTCCTCTTTCTTGGCAGCCCATGGAAGTCAAGTTGACCTATTCCAACGGTCAGGAAACGCTGAGGCTGCGGGGGGCTCGTGCTCCACACCCCAGGGAGAGCCCTGTATAGTCCAGAACCTAGGTCTGCAAAGAGACTTGGAACTGTAAGGGGTCTGGCCCGTGGGCCTCCTTCTCACCTGCTATGTTCCTGCTCAGCAATTAACAAGTCAGCCAGCCGCAGCCTGCTGCAGTGTGGGTGGGTGGGGAGATTCAGCTCTTTCACTGTGACCCTGCTTCCATTCCACACCAGGCTAGAAGGGCAGGAGAGAGTTTGAACAGAAGGCGGCGAACATCCACTTGAGTGGGCTTTTCCCAGAGAAGTGGTGTCTACATCAGAACCTGTAACACCCACTGGGCACTGTTGGATCCTCCGTCCCACTACCCCCAGGTACTAAAGCACCATGGAAAACTTAGGTGCAGGTGGCAGTAAGTCACTGGGAGTGAATGACTTAATCAGGTTTGTACTTTAGAAAGATAATGGTACCAGCAGTATGGGGAATGGGTATAAAAGGGGTGGTCCAGAGAATGGGAGGCCAGTTAGGAGGCCAGTCCAGGTGAGGGATGGTAATGACTTGGGCAAAGGCAGCAGCAATGGAACAGAGAAAAAGAGACCTGATAACAAATCTGTGGGATAGGCAGGAAAACAAGGAACAAATGTGTAGAGTACACAGGGCGGTGGAAATCTGGCAGAGGCCTTTTAGGAAGGTATATCTTCTAAGCAGGAAAAAGGCATCCAGGTTCAAGGAAGGTGAGAGACCGTGGCCAAGACAACTCCCATGACCCTGCAGGGGCTAGGTCTCTGGGGACTGAGGACACCTCAGGGACTTTTGCCATGACCAAATCCTGTTACTGCCACTTCTGCTGGATTTGGCTGGTAAGAGCTGCTGCTGATACCTACTCCAGTTTCTACAGGGGCCTCAGTATCCTTCTGCCTATATCAGAGGTCACCACCAAGCTGCCTCTAACTCTTTAGAAAACAGAGAAGTTAAAATATTGAAATAATTAATCTTTCAGAGCAGTTCTCCCCCTAGAGGACATTTGGCAATGTCTGTAGACAGCTTGGTTGTCATAACTGCAGGAGTCATATAGCCCTGCTACTGACACCGGTGGGTAGGTGGAGACCAGGAATGCTCCTAAATATCCCACAATGCACAGGACTGCCCCAGCAACAAAGGATCATCTGGCCAAAAATGGCAATAATGTCCAGGTTGAGAAACCACAATTTAGACATATGTTCTTAAGAGTTCCCCGTGTTTGAGCAGAAACCCTCATACAAGGAAGTCACACGCAGCCCACTCTTCCCATGGGACTAAACCAGACCTTCCACTGGCCAGCCCCTGCTTACTTGGTCATGACCATGTGGGGGCCACTGAAGAAGGAGAAGGTAGGCTCATCGTCAGCTTGAATCACTTCCTTTTCTCCAATGACCGGAAGAGATCCTAGATAGGCAAGCTGCGTCCCCCCTGTGAGGTAAAACTGAAACAAAGCACACCCTTAGACTGTGGGGAGAATCTTATCAGCCAGCTAAAATAATGACAGCTGCTACTTACCAACTTGCTGAATACCCCTACACACTGGACATAATTCTTTATATTATCTTTAATCTTCCTAGAAACCTTGCAAGGTTGTATTATTCTTTTTCTTTTACTAATGAAGAAACGGAGTCTCCTAGAAAGAGGTCAGATGCCTGTCTGAAGCACCACAGCTAGGACCAAACCCAGGACTGTGTGAGGCCAAGGCCAACATTCCTTCTCCCCCACTGACCCCCAGGCTGTATCAGCACAAAAGAATGAGGAGTGTGGCCAAGCTGTTATCGAACATTACTCACCCACTCAGTAATGTTTCCAACAGTCTTTCTTTGATGGACAGAACCAAGGACCCAAAAGATACTATTTGCCCTCAAAATATTTATCGGTTTAAAATTTCAATTCCTTAAAAGCATTCCAACCACAGTCATGAGCCTGTAGGAGGGCAAAATCAATAAGGAAGCAGATCCATGGGGCCAGTGTATCTTTCTGCCTCTCTGTTAGAATATGTCTGGGGCCTCTACTGAGAATTAAAGAACCATATTCTCAGGTCCCCAAATCTAGCCTAGGATGATTCAAGGGAACTCTCCAGGGTTTTGACCATTTGTCAGTAAGAGTAGGAACACTAAGAGATACCTTTCCATCAAAAGGGACAGGCTGGGCACGGTGGCTCAGGCCTGTAATCTTAGCACTCTGGGATGCCGAGGCAGGAGGATCGCTCAAGGTCAGGAGTTCTAAACCAATCTGAGCAAGAGCGAGACCCCGTCTCTATTAAAAACAGAAAGAAGTTAATTGGCCAACTAAAAATATATAGAAAAAAATTAGCTGGGCATGGTGGCGCATGCCTATAGTCCCAGCTACTTGGGAGGCTGGGGCAGAAGGATTCGCTTGAGCCCAGGAGTTTGAGGTTGCTGTGAGCTAGGCTGATGCCACAGCACTCTAGCTGGGCAACAGAGCGAGACTCTGTCTCAAAAAAAAAAAAGGGGGGGGGACAAAAAAGGGGAAAATATCACTTTGGTGAGGACAAGAAGGGAAGAGTTGGACAAAGGTGGGAGATGGGGCCTGGCAATCCTGCAGTTAGTCCCGCAAATGCTGGCTGTTACTGACAACCTCTTACCTTTCCAAAGCCAAAGCTGTAGATATTTTGGGCAGAAATGACTCCAGCTTTGAGCAGTCGGTTAGGAGAACCATTAGGGTTTCTAGAAATATATAAAAGAGGAAAAAAACCTAAGAATTAGCCACTCATATTCAGAGAAACAATGCTGAACCAAGTTTTCAGAATATATAATTGATTTTGTCTTTGCTACTTGACTTTTTATCACAGAACTAAAGAAGGTGTGATAGGCAGCCTCTGAGAGGGCCCTTCGATTCTCGCCTCCTGCCCTTGTGTAGTCCTCACAGGTCAGACAAGGCTGACCTGTTAACTCAAGAGTATGATGCAGAAATGATGGAGTGTCCCTTCCAAGGGTAGATCCACCAGGGCTTTTGCCCTGATCTCTCTTGGATCATTTGCTCTGGAGGAAGCAATCTGCCATGACATAGGGACACTCAAGCAGCCCCATGAAGAGGCTCAACACCCAGCACTGAGGTGTGAATGAGCCACCCTGAAACCGGATCCTCCACCCCCAGTCAAGCCTTCAGATGACTGCAGCCCTAACTAAGATCTTGACTGTCACTTCATGAGAAACCTTGAGCCAGAACATCCCAGCTAAACCATTCCCTGATTTCTGACTACCAGAAGTTGTGTAAGATAAAAATGTTTATTGTTGGCAGGGAACGGTGGCTCACGCCTGTAATCCATTCCTAGCACTCTGGGAGGCCAAAAAGGGAAGATCGCTTGAAGTCAGGAGTTCAAGACAACCCTGAGCAAAAGTTGAGATCCCGTCTCTACTAAAAATAGAAAAAAATTAGCTTGGCGTGGTGGTGCACGCCTATAGTCCCAGCTGCTGTGGAGGCTGAGACAGGAGGATCACTTGAGCCCAGGAGTTTGAGGTCGCAGTGAGCAGTGATGATGGCCACCACACTCTAGCTGGGGCGACAGAGCAAGATAATGTCTCAAAAAAAAAAGTTTATTGTTTGAAGTTGCTAAGTTTGGTGGGGGAGGGGGAGGGTGTGACTCATTATGCAGTAACAGACAACGAATACAGATGGTCAGAGTTGGAAAGAATCACAAAGCACATCTTGTCCGACTTTCTCATTTTACAGACAGGAAAACCAAAGCCCAGGGATGAGAAACCTGATGGCCTGAGGTTAAGAAGAGCAGGGACCAGACCCTGATGCTGCTCATTCCAGCCACTTCTGTTCCCATATACCATACCCAAAGCCACCACCTGCACGCAAAGGCCTGCATTAACTGGAGGTGAGTGGTGATGCCTTGTATTTCTTTGGCTCCCACAGCCTGGCATGGTGCCATGCACGAGGTAGGTGATCAGTTGATGCTTGCTGGATGAGTAGTTTCAGCTCAGATGGAAGGAGAAAACATTCTGCTGCTGCTAGAACCACTTTCCCTTTCTCGGCAAATGAGAAAAAAGCTGAGAGGAACAGTGCATACTCAGCGCCGCCTACATCAGGTCTGAGGCCCCATGTGCTACTATTCCTGAGCAGGTGTAAATGCTTTACTTCTGCTTTTGTAAGTATTTTAGCCTCCATCTCTTTAGTAACTCATCAGTGGCAGGCTGTCTCTTCCCTACTTTAAGCTGCTATACTGCTGAAGAGAGAATTCTGAAGTTTAGACTGAGGTAAGGCCGGGCGCGGTGGCTCATGCCTGTAATCCTAGCACTCCGGGAGGCCGAGGCAGGAGGATTGCTCGAGTTCAGGAGTTCGAAACCAGCCTGAGCAAGAGTGAGAACCCATCTCTACTATAAAAATAGAAAGAAATTAATTGGTCAACTAATATATATATATATATATAAAATTAGTTGGGCATGGTGGCACATGCCTGTAGTCCCAGCTTCTCAGGAGGCTGAGGCAAGAGGGTTGCTTGAGCCCAGGAGATTGAGGTTGCCGTGAGCTAGGCTAACGCCACGGCACTCACTCTAGCCTGGACAACAAAGTGAGACTCTGTCTCAAAAAAAAAAATAAAAAAATAAAAAATAGACTGAGGTAAACTGGACATCTCAATTTATAGCTAATGTCCTAGCATCTTGATAGTGTCCCTTTCACTCTCAAAACAGCCAGTAGATGATACACTATATGGCCACCCTCATTTAAGCACACAGACCATAAGAAAAAATCTCCTTTCCTATATCAAATCATCAGTCTCTTCTAGAAACAAGGTCTATATACTTAGGACTCAAAGATCTAGGAGATATTCGCTGGGCATGGTGGCTCTCATGTCTGTAGTCACAGCTACTTGGGAAGCTGAGGCAAGAGGATTGCTAGAGGCCAGGAGTTCAAGAGCAGCTGGACCGATAAACACCTCTTCTCTAAATAATTAATAAATAAATAAATAAATAGCTAGGACAGAATGGACTGTTTCCTGCCCAGGGGAAAGGACTTTGAGCTGGAAGTGAGGGTGACAACCCCCAGCAGAAACGGAACAGGAGGTGCCACTGACAAGGCCTCCTGCCTTCTCATCAGAGGCCTCTTAGCAACTTGTATGGCTCTTTAGAAAGTGGGAGTTTAACCACTTCAGTACCAGCGTCAACTATAGTCGTCAGCCACAGATGAACGTGAGCAGCGACTTTAGCCGACAGCCGTGATATGAAGGGGCACGGCCGAGCGTCGACTTTAGTTGACAGCCAAAAGCTTTTGCTTTTATCTCTGCAGCTACAGCGTGTATGTTCAGCTAATAAGTTACTACGAATCTGTGACCTTTTAACAAGTCCTTAGTAGGAATTATCATAGTTATTTTCCTAAAGCTGCCTGTAAAGTAAAACAAGCTTTCAGTGCTTTAAAGCTTTCCTCATCACACAAGAGCAAAACAGATTCGTCGTCAATGCACAGCACAAACTGCTGTGCGGACTATGAGTGCTGACTGTGGGCAAGGTGTCGTGGCCAGTGAGCGCTGTACCGAAGTGGTTAAGTAAAGAAGCCAACTGAGTGTTCTCTAATAATGACCTGTACAACAATTGCAGTTCAGACTGACATTTCTTGCTCTTACCTAAATTTCTCAGTCCACATCTATTTAAGTAAACTTGTCTGGGTCAAGGGGAGAAAAAGCTGACTTCAAGAGCCAGGTGGGTGTGCTGGTATACACCTGTAGTTCTGCTACTCCAGAGGCTGAGGTAGGAGGACCCCTGGAGCCCAGGAGTTTGAGACCAGCCTACAGAATATAATGAGATTTTGTCTCTTAAAAAAAAAAAAAAAAGCAGAAACAACCGACTCCAGTCATCTACAACCATCCAACCATCTGTTCTCAGTTCAGTGCTTTTATTTCCTTTCTGTGATCCAGGCTCTGTGTAAACAGACACCTGTGAGGAACCTTATCTGACTAGGCACCACTCACAGATCTGAGATACCACCTCTGATTTCAAGGATTTATGTGGTTTCTTTAGATTAAAAAGGGTGAGGGAGTGCCTTTCTCTCCTGTTTTCCCGTAAGCATTTTATTAACCCCATAGTAAGTATGTTTCTTCTAATTATATAAATACATGCTATGTTTAGATTACTAACTAAATTTTAAAAGCTTATCAACACTGAAACTTGGGTTTTCCTTGCAGGCTGGCCCATGAACTAAGCCCTATCATGCACCACGCAGCTAAGGGTTGGTGGTGATGAACAAGATAGACGCAATCCCTGCCCTCCTGGAGTTCACGTCTTTTGGAAAAATGGAGAGGAATGTATACAAACAAAATGACTGCAAACTATGCCAAGTCCCCCTTAAACTCTGAACAGGTGAACTCCATGCAAGGGTGAGGGGCAGGAGATGAAGTGGGAGAAAGCAGAGGGGCTGGACCAGGCAGGGCCTCCAAGGCCGGATGAGGGATTTGGGAGTTTATCCTGAGAGTCACGGGGAAGGCCCTACAGGGTTTTTAGCGGAGTGTGGCACAACCAGATTTCCATTTTAAAAAGGTCATTCTGGATGCCGAATAACCAAGACTGGCCAAAGTACAGCACAGCAGTCAGGCGTAACTAGTCCTCGGGGGGGGATCATGACCCCACCTTGCCTGAGAGGCAGCAGCACCGAAAACCAGGACTCAATGTGCAGGAAGGACAGGAATGAGGGAGCCCGTGCACGTGGTAAGTCCAGCTCCTCTGATTATAGAAAGAGATGCCATCAGAGAAGAGCAAAATGGATTCTCCACATACAAACCCTAAATCAATAAAGCCCAAAGAACTTACAGTAACTCCCTCGTGCCAAGCTCATCCCTGAGCATGAGAAGCCGGGGCCCACCTCCTGTAGCTGTGATGGGATGAGGGAGCTGCCCACCCAGCTGGCAGCAAGTCAGCTTAAAATACAGGAGCTTAAAATAGCCGGAGAAACCATAAGTGAAGCATTTGTTGTCTTCTGCAATCTTAGTAATAAAACAGTATGCTTTTCATGGTTCAGGAGATGACCAAAAAAAAGCCAGGAAGCTGCCCTGCTGGGTAAGGGTTTGCTGTGGGGCTCATCAGACCTGAGATGCTCCCCCTCTGCTGACAGAGGATGGCTCCCACTGGAGCCCACAGGCACTTCCCCCAGGCCTTCCAGGAGGAATGAGGGGAGGGAGATGGCCACAGGTGCATCTCTGGCCATCCTTATCAGTGGCCACATCTTCTCTTTCCTAGTGCACCCCTCTGGGTAAGCCAAATGCTGGAGGGAACCAATGTGGAGGAAACAGAGTCAGCCTGTCCTACAGGGCTCTGGTGAGGAAGGCTGGGACGACACAGAACAGCCCACTGCTTGAAGCAATACTCACCCCTGCATGAGGCCCCCAAACCAGGGTGGGCTGCAGATGAGCCGCTGCGGGGAGTCTATCTTCTTCAGCAGGTCATAAGAGAAGCCCTGGATGATGGCCTGCATGTGCGAGGCGCAGCGCTGCATGAACTCGACCATCTGCAACACACCGCAGAGACACTCAGTGCCGGCCACACCACCCTTCAATGGGAATGGAGGCATGGGTGTGAAGACAAGTGGTCAGAGGAGCTGGGAGCCCCAGCAAAGAAACCTCTGGAAAGGGAAGGGCCCAGGTAACTTTCTAAAGGTATGGAATGTTTTCAGGAGAGGATTTGGTGACAATTTCCTCCAACTCCCTCCTTCAATAGATGAGGAAACTGAGGATGAGAGGAGTAAAGTTACTGGTCCAAGGCTCCATGGCTAATGAACAGGAGAACCAGAGCTAGTAAAAGAAACTGTGCACATGGAGGAGCTTGGTGCCGTGCATGCCCTTTGTGTTTTACATTTGCTGTGTTATTTAGCCCTCATTAAAACACATCACACTGGCCGGGCGCGGTGGCTCACGCCTATAATCCTAGCACTCTGGGAGGCCGAGGCAGGCAGATTGCTCGAGGTCAGGAGTTCAAAACCAGCCTGAGCAAGAGCGAGACCCCATCTCTACTATAAATAGAAAGAAATTAATTGGCCAACTAATATATATATATATATAGAATAAATTAGCTGGGCATGGTGGCACATGCCTGTAGTCCCAGCTACTTGGGAGGCTGAGGCAGGAGGATTGCTTGAGCCCAGGAATTTGAGGTTGCTGTGAGCTAGGCTGACGCCACCGCACTCACTCTAGCCTGGGCAACAAAGTGAAGCTCTGTCTCAAAAAAAAACAAAAAAACAAAAAAAATCCCACATCACACTCACTAGTCTGTGACCTCAGACTATGACTTCAGTCTGTGACCAACTTACTTAATATCAATGGGCCTCAGTTTCCTCACCTATAAAATGGAGACAATGATATTACTTATCTGAGAGGTTGTTGCGAAGATTAAGTGGGTTAATACATAGAAAACATTTGGAGCAATGTCTGATTTCTGGTAAGTACTAAACAGGTCAGACAAAATTACAACTGTTCTCCCTCCCCATAGAACGGATGACTAGAAAGGTTCACTAGAACCTTGCTTAAGGTCTTTCAGCTAGTTAACTTGCCTCAACCCAGGCCTGTGAGTCCAGAGGCAATGCTTAAGGACATTGTGTGTTCTGTGCTGCTCCATGGGATCCTGACTCTCAGCCCAGTGCTCTTTTACTGGGTGTGGCTGCAGAGCGGGGGCCGCCCTTACCGGGGTGCTACGCTCCTTTCCTGCTGTCAAGGCCCAGGTCTGCGGGTTTCGACCCTTCTGATCATGGAGTCGCAGGTCACCTCCGGCATCCAGCAGTTTGCTGAGAATCCACTGATTGCCTGAAAATGCTGCTGCATGGACAGGGGTGCTCCCATCAAAGCAGCGGCTGGGGAGGGGGACGGGTACAGTGAATGCCCACGGCAACATGCTTTCCCTCCACGGAGGATTCAGTGTGTAACACAAGGCAGCCATTCTACAAAGGCAACCTTTAACGAAGAGGATTATAATAATTATATCTGTGAGGCCCCATTCTGTGCCAATGAGAGCTTTACACACATCCCTTTTTTCCATCCTTTCTCCAGCCTTTCAAGGCAGCATCGTTTCCGAATTTACAGATGAGAAAACAAAAGAGCAAAGCTATGGTTCATTCCCACATGTGGGTCTGTTCCCAAGTCCAGCTTTCTCTAACCACCACCCCTACTATTGACTGCCCTGAAACAATCCCTTCATGCCTGCTGTGTCCTGGGATCATGCTGCACAAGCACAGCCTAACAAGGGACCATCTCTCTCATGTGAGAATGTCTCTGTCCCCCCTCCAAATCCTGTGCAGAGGTCCACAAAACCTTTGCATCAGCAATCCAGGCAAGGATCTACATCTCAGAAAAATTTCACCTAAGCCAATAAACTCTCCAAGGCAGGAAGAAATGGCCTTCTATGTCCAGGATACAGTGAGGATGTGATACATAGCCTTGGTTTCCTAACTTGGCTGCATATCAGAATCACCTGGGGAGCATTCTCCCTTTAATTGAAAAAAAACGCAAAGAGGAGGAGGAAGAGAAAAGAGAATGAGAAGAAGAGGAGGAGGAGGAAAGAAAATAAAAGAGTATGAGGCCAGGCATGGTGGCTCACGCCTGTAATCCTAGCTCTCTGGGAGGCCGATGTGGGCGGATTGCTCAAGGTCTGGAGTTCGAAACCAGCCTGAGCAAGAGCAAGACCCCGTCTCTACTATAAATAGAAAGAAATTAATGGGCCAACTAAAAATATATAGAAAAAAATTAGCCAGGCATGGTGCCGCATGCCTGTAGTCTCAGCTACTTGGGAGGCTGAGGCAGAAGGATCGCTTCAGTCCAGGAGTTTGAGGTTGCTGTGAGCTAGACTGACACCACGGCACTCTAGCCCGGGCAACAGAGTGAGACTCTGTCTCAAAAAAAAAAGTTTCTTAACTACAGACACCCAGTTCTCTTGCCCAGGTGCAACTACTATTTCAAGTTTTTGTATCCTTCCAGAAATTTACAAAGTATAAACAAGTATAAATAGGAACATGCGGCCAAGCGAAGTGGCTCACGCCTATAATCCTAGCACTCTGGGAGGCCGAGGTAGGCGGACTGCTCGAGGTCAGGAGTTCGAAACCAGCCTGAGCAAGAGCGAGACCCTGTCTCTACTATAAATAGAAAGAAATTAATTGACCAACTAACGTATATAGAAAAAATTAGCCAGGCATGGTGTGCATGCCTGTAGTCCCAGCTACTAGGGAGGCTGAGGCAGGAGGATTGCCTAAGCCCAGGAGTTTGAGGTTGCTGTGAGCTAGGCTGACACCACAGCACCCACTCAAGCCTGGGCAACAAAGCGAGACTCTGTCTCAAAAAAATATATAAAAAAATATGCTATATAAACTGTTCTGCATCTAAATTTTCTCATTTAACAATATATCTTGAGAAATTTCCATGAGAAAATATAAGTCACCTCAATTCTTTTTTTTTCTTATCTTTTTTTTTTTGCAAACATGGATTGTAACTCAATTCTTTTTAATAGCTGCACAGTATTCCAATGAATGGATGTTCTATAATTTAGTTAATGAGCCATGGGGATATCTGTCAAAAATACATATTCTCACACTACACCTAGACGGACTGAATCAGAATCTGCAAGCACAGGGCCCAGCAATGTATATTTTTTATAGGTTTCCCAGGTGATGCTAATGAGACTGGCCTGCACTCAGGCATCTGGGAACCAGCAGCTCTCACTGTCGGCTCTCTCCCATGCCGAGTCAGACAGGAAGTCCAGCACTGCATTGTGAAACCATAATATCCTCCCTGCTGCAAAAACAACCTTGTATAATGTCTTACAGTCTTCCAACCATTCCTCCAACAAATAGTAAGCAAGTTGGGTTGGGGGAGAAAAGATTATTCTTCATTTCTTATAAATACTAAGGAAGAAAGGAATAATGGTTTATTTATACCCAGCTAAACCTTGCTAGAGAATCCAGGACCAAATGGTATGAAAATGTGTACTATAATTTCTTCTTCTCACTGGTGTTAGGAAAAAAAAAGTACTGTTATTAATTTATCATAGAGGTTGAAAACTGGAGTCTCAGATTGACTTGGCCAACCCAGTGTTCTAAAAATACTGAAATAATGGACAATATCTAACATCTGGGAGATTTCATATTGAAAATTGGGATTTCCAACTCCGGAAATTTTTAAGATTTGGCCTTCCTGACTCCCTTTTCTGCCCAACAGCATTAGATGTCCAAACCTATACCCAGCGACCCCTACTTGGGCCATCAGGCATTTGACTTTGTGACCCTGAGAGGCCCAGGCCATCATAGCATTTCCATTATGTGTTTAGGAATAAAGCCTCCTCCCAGAAATTTCCCTTCTCCTTCATCAGAAGATATTATTAAAGCCACATGAAAATGCTCCTAATCACAAAATACAAAGCCATGGAGGTTGCTGTCCTCCCCTTATGTTTTTCTTTTTCTACCTCCTTCCAGACATCATGGCCACTTCTAAAAGGGGAACTTCTTTAAATTCTGAGTTCCTGAAGGGCTAGGGTGCCTGGGCTGGACTCTTGGTCTCAGTTCTATCATTAACACAATGTGCTATATATATTACAGGCTAGTCACTTAAACTTTCTGGGCCTCAGTTCCCTAATTTGAAAAATTAAAGCTTTGAATGATTTGATCTTTAAAGAACTCAGCTCTAAACCTGAACAAAACAGTTGTAAATGCAAATGATCTGGAAAATGTTGCATTTTGCTGAGGAACTGCAGGGGGTCCCAACATGGCCTGCCTACAAAGTTGCTATCTACAAGTACCAGGTGAGCTAGGTCTTCTTTTCTAAGCTTTGAATTAAATAATAGAGACAACTGAGCATGAGTCTAGGAAAAAAAAATTTTTTAATCCCACTCAAAATATATCTATAGTCTAGAAAAATTCTGCACAGAAACACAATAAGATATTGTGTTAAGTTACGTCCAGGTTACAGAATTCTCATACTGATTGGCTTTGTTTTTTATACTTTTCCAAGCTCCCAAATTTTCTTCCACTAAGCAATCTAATATAACCAACTCCTACACACATAAAACCGCAAAACCTTCCAACATCAATACTTTCAACTTGGACTTAAAGTACATTAAACAGGGCCTCCTTAGGTACAATGTGAAAGACTATGAATGTTCATATTCTGGTATTTCTATAAAAATCAGCTGGAATCACGTAAGTGCTCAAAACTCCAGTTTCTAAATTTGTTCAATGGGAACTGTAAAAACACTTGCTGTTGGCCAGGTTCAGTGGCTCACACCTGTAATCCTAGAACTCTGGGAGGCCGAGGCAGGAGGATTGCTTGAACTCAGGAGTTTGAGACCAGCCTGAGCAAGAGTGAGACCCCGTCTCTACTATAAATAGAAAGAAATTAGCCAAACAACTAAAAATAGAAAAAAAAATTAGCCGGGCATGGTGGCACCTGCCTGTAGTCTCAGCTACTTGGGAGGCTAAGGCAAGAGGATTACTTGAGCCCAGGAGTTTGAGGTTGCTGTGAGCTAGGCTGATGCCAGCGCACTCTAGCTAGCCTGGGCAACACAGTGAGACTCTGTCTCAAAAAAAACAAAACAATACAGGCCGGGCACGGTGGCTCACGCCTGTAATCCTAGCACTCTGGGAGGCCAAGCTGGGCGGATTGCTTGAGGTCAGGAGTTCAAAACTAGCCTTAGCAAGACCCCGTCTCTACTAAAAATAGAAAGAAATTAATTGACCAACTAAAATATATATATACAAAAACTTAGCCGGGCATGGTGGCGCATGCCTGCAGTCCCAGCTACTCCGGAGGCTGAGGCAGTAGGATCACTTGAGCCCAGGAGATTGAGGTTGCTGTGAGCTAGGCTGATGCCACAGCACTCACTCTAGCCTGGGCAACAAAGTGAGACTCTGCCTCAAAAAACAAAACAAAAAAAAACCAAAAAAAACCAAACAAACAAAAAAAAACCACCTGCTGTTCCCTCCCTGTCAAGGTGTTATATAAAGATCAAGTGAGCAAGTACCTGGGGAGACACTGGGAAAAGCCAAAGTGCTTCACAAAGAAAAGAGATGTTCACACATTGCTAAGGCATTACATTGTGTTGCTGTTCCATTAAAATTCGGACCAAGTATTAAACTTCTTTCATTTACTTATTTTATTCCCCTGATAATTACACAGTAATCGGATTCTTTTAAACAACTATAAAGACAGGCAAAAGTCACCCTGACAAAATGATGTCAAGTATATTAACTGGTGAATAATTTGGTTGTGGCCAGGAGAGGGGACTCACGTCTATAATCCTAGCACTTTGAGAGACCAAGACAGATTCCCCGGAAGGATCACTTCAAGCCTGAGCAGCACACTGAAACCTCGTCTCTACCAAAATTAGAAAAATCAGCTGGGCATGTGGTGGTGCAAGCCTGTATTCCCAGCTACTAGGGAGGCTGAGGTGGGAGGATCACTCCAGCCCAGGAGTTTGAGATTACAGTGAACTATGATGACACCACTGTCCTCCTGCCTGGGCAACAGAGCAAGACCCTGTCTCAAAAAAAAAAAAAACAAAGAGAGAGAGAATTTGATTGAGAGGATGTTAAACTGCCTAAACAAGTGAGGTACATGATAGAAATTATAACCTGGGGTGAAAACTGTGCTTTTAATGAATAATTAACTAATTAATGAGTAATCTCACTTAATTATTTCATAGGGCCCAGTATAACTGCTTGGGAAAATTTTATTAGCAGTTAAAATTATTTTTCAACATATGTACAGGCCAGGCGCCATGGCTCACACATGTAATCCTAGCACTCTGGGAGACCGAGGTGGGAGGATCGCTCAAGGTCAGGAGTTCAAAACCAGCCTGAGCAAGAGCGAGACCCCCAAAATAGAAAGAAGTTAGCTGGACAACTAAAAATATATAGAAAAAATTAGCCAGGCATGGTGGTTCATGCCTATAGTCCCAGCTACTCAGGAGGCTGAGGCAGAAGGATTGCTTGAGCCCAGGAGTTGGAGGTTGCTATGAGCTAGGCTGACACCATGGTACTCTAGCCAGGGCAACAGAGTAAGACTCAGTCTCAAAAAACAAACAAACATATGTTCACTGATACAAATTAGCAAAGGTTCTTTTTTTAAAATATTTCGTCAAATTAGTTTCCATATGCCCCAACTCATCTCAAGAATACAATCCTTATTTTCTAGATGTCAATGTTACCATACTTACTGATTTGGGTCTGATCCATAATCCACCAGAACATCTACTAATTTTGTAAGCCCTAATAATGCCGCAACAAAAAGTGCCGTCTGGCCCAGGGAGTTAACTGCATCAACATAAATTCCTGCAAAGTAAATAGCAAAATCAATGCCAATATCAGGAATTTTACTGAGATGTAACAAAGGAAAAATTTTAAATTTCTTTATACTATATTTTCATATACTACTGCTAACTTTTTTAAAACACAAAAAAAGAAAACCTTCACCAGTCACACACAAACACACATATATATATGAAAGGCCAAAGACCAACTGGAAGGAAACCCCAGAGTTTATTCACCAAAAATATTATTTACTTGCCAGGTGTGGTGGCTCATGCCTGTAAAAATGAATGCTAGCACTCTGGGAGGCTGAGGTGGGTGGATTGTTTTGAGCTCAGGATTTCGAGACCAGCCTGAGCAAGAGCTGAGACCCGTCCCTACTAAAAATAGAAAGAAATTAGCTGGACAACTAAAAATATATAGAAAATATTAGCCAGGCATGGTGGCGCATGCCTGTAGTCCCAGCTACTCGGGAAGCTGAGGCAGAAGGATCGCTTGAGCCCAGAAGTCTACAGAAATTTGCATCGAAGCATTTCACCACACTCTGGTAAAATAAAACGAATTAAAACGCTTCTCAGGTGGAAATGTGTAAGGAAGGGGTCAATGATACTTGGTGTGTCTCAGGTGGAAATGTGTAAGGAAGGGGTCAATGATACTTGGTGTGTCGACAGACCTCACGTAAAATACAACACAAGACAATCATACGGAATGGGCCAGGCACGGGGCCTCAAACCTTTCATCCTACCACTGTTAGAAATAGACCAGTACACCAGCTTGAGTAAAGAGAAGCCCAGTCTCTATAAAAATCAGAAAAATTTTCAGGGCACATTAGCAGAATCTATAACCAAACTGCCAAAGAAACTTTAAGGCAAGAAAATCACTTGGTTATAGAGGTTCAAGACACCACAACAAAACTCTGCACTCCCTATAGCCATAAAAACAAGGCAAAGAGCAATAATAATTGCAAAAAAAAAAAAGGTTAGAAACAAAAGAGAAACCAAACCAGACCAAGAAAAAACACAGCGAAGAATAAACTCCACCAGGAAAAATTCAGACCTACTGCTATTTTCATACCATTGAAAAAAAGGAAAACCACTCAGACTGCGTCCTCTCCCTCTCACTCCCCCATAAAGAGAGAGAAGAACGATCATCAATGGCAAGTGGCAGTTGCAGCAAAGCAACACCAAGAGCCGGCTTCACGCTCAGGAGAGAACACTGCGCCTCCTCCTCGTGGTTTTCGGTACTCTACACGTTCAGAGAAACTTCTCTAGTAACGGACTATAGAAATGATCCCTGAAAGTATAGTCTTAACCACCTTCAGCGCGCCTGTCCGAACTGGACGAAACTCATACACATTTAACTGATGGTGACTTTTACTTATGACACCATTTCTCTCAAGAGCTATTGGCATATGTTTTTCTAAAAAATATCTTTCCACTATGAGAGTTCGACAAGGCAATTTGAGTATCCTTGAGTTTTCGAAGACATTTCAGACTGTCACCTTAATTAACATACAATGCTAAACAGCCAATGACTCGCCAGTTATTTCTAACACCGCGTGACTTCCTCTGCCCGTCATGTTTGCTAGCGTCATGCTGACGACAACAAAGCGCGCTGGGGCGCCAGAAACTGTCACATACTCGCCTCAGTTTGGACCCGACCGGTGGTCGAAGCAAGGAGGCTTTTCGCGAGAGGAAAAAGAAAACTGGATGGGGTCGGGCGCGGTGGCTCCCGCCTATAATCCTAGCAACTCTGGAAAGCCAAGGCGGGAGGATCACTTGAGCTCAGGAGTTCCAGACCAGCCTGAGCAAGAGCGAGACCTCGGAGACCTTGTCTCTACTAAAAATAGAAAAAATTAACCTGGCGTAGTGGCACACGCCTGTAGTCCCAGCTACTCGGGAGGCTGAGGCAGGAGGATCCGTTGAGCTCAGGAGTCAGGTTGCTGTGAACTATGGTGACACCACGGCACTCGCTCTAGCCTGGGCAACAAAACAAGACTCTGTCTCAAAAAAAAAAAAGAGGGCCCCTTCACGGGGGTCATGATGAGCAGCAAGATGGTGTCTGCCAGCAGGGTCGTCCAGGTAGTCAAGCCACACACTCCATTAATAAGATTTCCTGACAGAAGAGACAATCCTAAACCCAATGTATCAGAAGCTTTGAGATCAGCAGGGTTACCATCTCACTGTTCTGCAATTTCCCAGCATTCTAAGGGAAGTAAATCACCAGATTTGCTGATGTATCAGGGTCCACCAGATACTGCAGAAATAATAAAAACATTGCCTCAGAAATAAAGAAGGAAACTTGTGTCTGAAGAAGAAATTGAATTTATCCAACGTGGAGGTCCAGAGTAATCACTGTGGCTGCTGTTTGTCATCAGACAGAAGAATTACTTTACAATAAATGACTTCTAAAATGAAAAATGAGAAATTGTATATTAAGCTACTTTAATAAATATTCTGTAAAAAAAATGAGATATAGAAAATTTAGATGGACACTTGTATCTCCTAATTTATGTATCTTGGTCAGCTTCTCCACAAGCTTACCTAATTAATTGTTTATACTTATACTTTATACTTATTAAAGTATACATTTTTAAATGTTAGCCTATTTACTTTTGATCATCAAATATTACCAGTGTTGAACTATTAAAAGCACACAAGGTCTAGTAAAGCTTCCCATAAGTTCACTTTTCTTGCTGTTTCTGTTTAGACATGGAAGGAATTTATCAGGCAGAATTGCTGTTTTAGGGACATCATTTTCCTGGCATTGGATAAGGATCAGTAAAATAATGACTCCATTACTTGTTCTTAATTCTCTAACATTTTTTCATTCACAAGTTTACTGGAGTATAACTGGCTTAATAAGTATATCCTACTCCAAATGATAAAAATATAGCCAAGGTAAAACAGGTGCCTAAGTATTAAGACTGAGGAGGCCAGGCACAGTGGTTAACGCCTATAATCCTAGCACTTTGGGAGGCTGAGGCCAGAAGTTTGACACCAGCCTGAGAAACATAGCAAGACCCCATCTCTACAGAAGTTTAAAAAATTAGATGGTCATGGTGGTGTGCCTGTAGTCCCAGCTATCTGGGAGGGTGAGGCAGGAGGATCACTTGAGCCCAATAGTTAAAGGTTGCAGTGAGCTATGATTAAGTCATGCATTCTAGTCTAGGCAAAAGAGCAAGTCTCTGTCTCAAAAAAAAAAAAAAAAGACTGAGGAAATAACACAAAAGATTATTTGTAACCTATATTCAAAACAAAGAGTATAAAGTGGAAAATAAGCAATCAAAATGAACATAGCAGAGGATTCTTGAAAGGCATTTGTCAGGAAATAATGAGTACAGCATAGGCATAAATGTTTCACTAGAAATTGTAATTTATTATGTTTTGGGGATAAAGTTTGTTCTTTGGTTTATTTTATTGTTTTGATTGTGATTATGTATGGAAATTCTGATAACCATTAACTTTCTCAAACTTAATGTTGAAAAGCCTCATAAATCAAACTAAATATTTACCTTATTAAGCAACTTCTGAATCTTTAATAGGGCTTTCCTGTGCCAAGCATATGTATATTGTGAAAGTAAAGCCTCACAAAGCTAAATAAATTCTCTTTCCTTACCTTTAAAAAAAAAAAAAAGGGAAAGTGGATGGTAAAAGTGACAATCCAAAGCCAAAGACCATCAGATTTACATAGCACGTGCTATTTTTAAATTTTATCTTGTGATCAAAATTCCAGACATAAATATTCTTTTGGATTATTTTTCTCAGGTCAAAGACTTTTTATTCTATGACATGGATTGTGTATAAACAATCAGGACAATGTATTATTCCCTGCTTTAAGCTTCAGCAGCTTCCTGTCTCTTGGGTTAAAGATAAAATTTAGTTACATATTTACAAGGTCTGACTCATACCCACCTCTGAAGCCTTTTACACCATATTCCCCCTTACTCCAGCTACACTGGCTTTCTTAAGACTCATACTCACCATGCTCCTTGCTGCCACATAGCCTTTACACAAGCTGCTCTCCATGATAGGAATTCTACCCCCCAACCTCTAACCCCAACTTAACTTCAATTTATCATTCAGACATCTGTCCAAATTTCACCGTCTCAGGGAACACTTCCTTAACATCCTTGAACAGATCAAATACCTCTTCTGTGTGATTATTCAGTTAATGCCTGCCACCTGCATAAGACTAAGTTTCACAAGGGCAGAGACTGTGAATGGCTTTGTGTACCCACTATATCCCAAGCACCTAATATTGAATGAATGAATCCAAGTAAAAGTGTCCAGTGTCCAGAACTGGGCTAGATAGGGGTCATTAACATTATTATTGGCCACTTTTCAGCCATGGGAGGAAATAAGTCCTGAAAGATACTACCCAAACAGCAAAAGGGTAAAGATGGAAACCTGAGGCCCACTACCATTTTAAGACACAAGCTGAAGAAAAAACTCCAAAAGTAGGCAGAAATTAGAAGAAAACCTGAATGAAATAGGTCATGGTGACAAGACAGGTAAGAATTTCAAAAAGAAGGATCAGTCATCACCATCAAAGCCAAAGACATCTAGTTAAGAAGGAACAGTGGGGCCAGGCACGGTGGCTCACGCCTGTAATCCTAGCACTCTGGGAGGCCGAGGCGGGAGGATTGCTCGAGGTCAGGAGTTCAAAACCAGCCTGAGCAAGAGCGAGACCCCATCTCTACTATATATAAATAGAAAGAAACTAATTGGCCAACTAATATATATAGAAAAAATTAGCCGGGCATGGTGGCGCATGCCTGTAGCCCCAGCTACTCAGGAGGCTGAGGCAGGAGGATTGCCTGAGCCCAGGAGTTTGAGGTTGCTGTGAGCTAGGCTGATGCCACGGCACTCACTCTAGCCTGGGCAACAAAACAAGACTCTGTCTCAAAAAAAAAAAAAAAGAAGGAACAGTGTTCTTGGTGATAGCAGTGCTAGTGGGGTTCACATTTCTCACTGCTCAGGCTTTGCTGTGTTACAAATATTTATGGCATGTCTATATCTCCT